GTACGGTGTAAGAGAGCCGCAACCCTTCATTAAAAACGCACCCGCAAAATAAAGCGTCGGGAGCAAACAAAAGCACCGCCGCTCGTCTCCTTGTTGTTATGGAGGAGGAAGAATGTGTCTGTGTGCTTCAAACTAATCTCACCGTCTCAAAATAACACGGGGGAGAGGCGGAACAAACGAAGAAAAAAAAAGAAGAGAAGAGGATGATGCAGACAAAAAAATTAACAGCATGAAGTAAATTACAATGATAACAAAAGGGGTGGCGCCGTGAATTGTTTCAGACGCCCACAATGGCGCACTCGTCAAAGTAATGTCCTTATGGAGGGCTCTCCTCCAGTTGAGGGGGAAGAAGAATGGGGGGCTTGCTTGACCCTGTCCATTAATTGCAATGGTCCACCACGCACCTCCACCAAAGTCGTTGTTAACTTGCATTGCTGCCATTCTTTTTTTTACAGAAGTATAAACAATAAAGGTAAACACTCATGTAACTCAGAACTCAAAGTCTGCCAACGCCATCAGGTACAGGTCGATCTAGCAAGAAACCCTCTCCAACAAATGATATGAGTCTCTGAATGGCTCACTATGCTACAATGTGCACCATTAGAGAATGCTTACGTGTGCAATCATGTCACAACTAAAGCATGCCAGATTTGGTTCAAAGCGACTAAAGCGTTCCCTCGGGGGGAGACAACTTGGAACACCATGTTTCAAGGGTAACTAGTACTTCTTGAACTGATTCCTGTACGTGTTTTGGCATTGTACGCTTGTTGGCGTTGACCCTCAATGGTCTACGCAACTCAGAAAACAGGTTAGCTCGAGGGCAAGCGTGCCTACAACACCCACAGATGTATACATGTCGCTCGATCGTTTTAGACGTTTCTCATCACTCGGCGACGTTGGCTGTTTGCACAGGTTCGCAGCTTCTCACAAAGAAGACAATACTACTTGGTCCTGAGCCTGCCCCTGGGAGGGAGGCTGACGTCCAGACGGTGAGGGGCGGTGGGGCTGCGGCGGGGTGGACACGGGAAGCTCTTGCTGGAATGCACTTTGCGCTGCTCAAAGCGACGATGCCGCCACTGCAGCATACCACACCCTGCCTTTGTTTTGGCGACCACAAAAATAGAATACTGCGTAATGGTCTGTTTTCGTTTGAGAGGGATTAGCTTTCCCAGCCAGCCTGTGGGAGAGGGGGGTCTTTGTAGTGGACTATATGCGACGGCTTAAAGCCCTCTCCGCCAGCAACCCACTTTACTCGCTTCTTTTCTCGTACTCTGTTTACCTGCCTCACATATTATATAAAACCAAAGTCGGATCCTCCAATATAGCACAACAAATTAGGCGTCAAGAAAACGATTCGTCCTCTCCTGAGAACTGAATCTCGCAACTTGCAAATGCTAATGAAGTATTTTATAAACCCCTCTGTTTCCCTTTCTCAATTCATCATACATGAAATGCATATACAGCCTACTGGCGTGTGATGTTGACGTTTCCTTGCCACTGTGAAAAACTGTTGTAAAGGTTACAGGAAAATTTTACATGGCGCGTCTTGTAAAATTACAACTTTAACACGTTGAGTGCGGCGGTGTGGGTCACGCCGCACTGAACGTGTTAAGTTGTAAAAGCACAAGCACCTGGGATTCATTGACGAGCAAAGATGGCTGACGTAAATTTAACACGGTAAAAACAATGTCCGATTATTTGAGGGAATTGGGAAAACTTTGAGGATCTCCCATATTTGAGGAAAACTTCTCCGATTTTGAGGGAGTCTCCTCAAAAAATGTGATAAATTCCCTCATTTTTTGAGGAGACTCCCTTAAAATCTGAGGAGTCTTCCCCAAATTAAGGGAGTTCCTCAAAGTTTTCCCTTTCTCCTCAAAAAATCAGACATTGTTTTTACCGTGAAAACATATTCTGTAAGTCGTAGATACAAAATATGTCGTAAATTTACAAGGAGATTTTGCTTGAGTTTGCTGCTTACCCGCCGGTGCCGCCGCGTATGGAGGCCTTGGCCTCGCCGGGCCGGCCGACGTACCAGCGCGGCTTGGAGCCGTCGCTGGTGTTGCAGGTCGCCACGTGGTTGTCGCCGACGAAGCGCGCCACGATGCTGTCCTGCGGCATGATCTCGATGGCCACGCCGCCGCCTCCTCCACCGTCAGACACCAGCACCACTTCCTCCCGCGTCACCCGAGCCAGCGCGACCTGCACAGCGCCTGCAACAAAACAACAAAAAAAACTCGATAAAAATATGCTTTTCTGCGTAATTGACACCTCACCTCAGAGGCATTCGCCGCACACAAAATTATGGAGGCTGCAAACAATATTATTTCGCCGGGGAATGTGGTTGTGGTAATCGTATCGGACATAAAACTTGGCCGTTTGCGTCTGCCGACGCCCGGGCATCACACCTCTCCAGTGCCCGGCCGAGCCGGATTAGACCCTAATTAGACAGTTTGAGACGAGCAGCTCAGCCAGTCGCTCCATGAGCGGGTTGGGTTCCCAGGACTCCTGGACCACTTCACGCCCCACCCCGCCCCGCCGCACCAAGGCCCGCCCCGCCCTGGTCCTGGCGGCCTAACCACCCCGCCCCGCCCCACCCTACCTTCCTTCGAACCGGAAACTTGCTAATCAAGTGGTTTGTCCGAGTAGCGATCGGCTCCGGCTGCTCTGCTCGGCTGAGGACCGATAGTCGGGTCGGGCTCGGCAAAAGAAGTGTCAAGCGGCGCAAAAGATCGTTATTTTCACGAAAAGGTCCGCGGGTCGGTCCGTTACGGAAGGAGGAAAAGAGTACTTAAGGTGGCTGGGGAAAGGGTGCACGACCTCGGTGTCGTATACAACAACCAAGCCCTACCACAATTCAACCATCCCTATACTTCGCCCTTCTCCACACGCAGGGCACTCGACACACACAAACTATCTCACACGCACAACCACAAGCACACACACGTGATTGATTGCCTCAACTCGTTCAGCAGCGCCAGCCGCGCGTCAAAGTTGCGGCGCGCATAAGAGCGTGTGGCGCGGCATAACACGTCTGTCATCTAAAGTGGCCCCCCAAGTCGCACCTCTCTTCAGCTCTCTCTCTCTCTCTCTCTCACCCCAGAGCGATCCTCTGTGTCTCTCACTCACGCACCAGCAGATTCTGTCTAACGCTGTGTTCGATAACCTTTCGCTTCCATCCCTCTCCCTCCCTCCTCCTTTCTCTCTCCCCTTCTCTCCCCGCCATCCTGCCCCTTGCTCCGGAATTAGACTTTTGCCCGCCTGTCTGGTGGATGGCGGCGCGGCGCTCCTTTTTATCTCCTACCGCAGAACGGAACCGTCTTTAGGGGTGGGAGTCAGCTTCCAGAGAGAGAGAGAGAGAGAGAGAGAGAGAGAGAGAGAGAGAGAGAGAGAGGGGGGGGGGGGAAGAGTCGGTCTGCTGGTAATGACGGCAACGGCTGTTCCTCAATGTGAATGATAGAGTCGGACAACTTTTCTTATCTGATTATAAACAGTCGCTATTGCGGGCCGAAAGACTGCCATTCCTCCCCCTCTTCCTCTAACCTCCCCCGCGTCTAACTGCGGAACGCGAATCGTTGCCTCAAATCTTCATAATGATACGTACAACACGGGCACGGGGGTTGAGAGAGGAGATAGAGAACACATAGCCGATTCCAACGTCTCTCTTCCTCGAACCGTCGCGCGTCGTACAATATGCCGCGTGATATTCCACATAAAGAGCAGGAGGAATTAATATCACGCGTCCACATACGCATGCCAAACCCATACGAATACAGCAGCGCAGTAAACACAGAACAGACGCGCGCAACTCGTATACACTAACCGCGAACTCCCGCGGCTAATACTCGTGATTCCTTTAAACTTACCTGGCTCAATTGGACACCCAGC